GTCTCATTGAGTCAATTTATCAATATAAGTTTCCTAGTTAAGAGAGTCTCTTGGATAAATTCCTGTCGCTTACAGTGACACTAACTGCAGTGCTACGAAAAATTACAGTCACTTTTAATACAATGAATTAGGCCCACGGATCATTTTAAAAGAACAATTGTTTTTCTTCAACTGATATTTTGACAGAATTTGTTGAAAAGAAAATTTATTGCCTTCTTAACTGACTGTTAATATTAATTTCTGTTCCACGTTCCGCGTTTCTTTCGTACATTGAATTCCTTTTTCGACAATATCGAAAAATGGATTTCAAAAATATCGGCCTAGGAACTTTTCACCATCACAAACCGTGATTGAAAGATGGAACTAACCCACACGTTAGGGTTGTAAGGAATCAGTTGTAAGTCCAACGATTTCTCATGAAGAAACTGCGTTGCCTCTTAAAAAATTTGTAAGATAAATTCTTGGCTCCGGAGGCGTATTCAAGGGCAGGGTCACTGTTGAGACTGCAGCGAGATGTTATCTAACCTCGTGTACCTTAAGAACAGTGAAAAGATCATTGATCGAGGCAAATCAGTAAGAAAAAAAGATTGTTATGGCTAAAAAAAGAGCTTGAATTTAGAACGAGCATCTGCACCATGAAGCAACTAATAGGATACAACCAACTAAACTAAAATAAACTGTTGTGGAATCTTTTAGTTCAAAGCAGCTCATATGTTGTCGTCGGGTAGCTACTGTATATTGTGCTGACAAGCACTTCAATATGAATATTACAGCTACATTCAAGTAAAGCTCAAATACCAGAAGGAAAAAAAAAAAGTAAAGCTCTTAATTTAACAAGGGAATTCATATGCTATTTTATTCGCAGCTGACACTTTATTCGCTCTCAGTAATACACCGACAACCGCACGTCGGCAACAAGTCATGGCAACACCGAAATTTTTAAAAAAGACAAAGTTACATCGTTAAGGAGATCTCAACAATTTTTCACTGATTTGACGACAAAACTCCGAGCCAGCGTTTGCAGGTTCAAGTAAGCACTGAATTATTTTCTGCCTTTGAAAACTGGTATTATGACGAAGGAAATAATGAGCTGTAAAAATGCACCCTACAGTGAAAAAACCAAAAACATTGTTGTTAAAGGTGGCGGCAAATTCTAGTAAAAATAGAACGGTCAATATTTCTAGTTGAATCAATGGCTGTTTCAACGTGTTGTATACACGTAGTGCTAAGTTATTCTGAGCTATATTTTTAACTGCATCAAAGAGGCCCTAAATCTAGTCTTTGAAGTATATCGATTGCTTTTATTGTTCACCAAAATGGAAATGAACGAGCGCGAATTGAATTCAATTGTCTCAGGACAATTCAAGATATTGTTTTGATCCATCCTTTCAAGTTTGGAACCGATGGCAATTGACGTTTTAGACTTTGAGGCTGCCCTAAACTGTTTACAGAAGGCGCCGTTCAATTTGAACTTCGACCAAACCTTCAAAAGATTGTTGTTTATTGTTCACTGGATTTTCGATCGAAAACAGGAAGCAGGTAGTTATCTGGTAAGGTAAACTCCTTGTGCTTTCTTTGCAATCATTTGTACTTTCTTTCGCTCCATTACAGTGTTGGGTCTCTGATATGAACCATCTTCACTATTTTTCGCCTAATATACTTTTTATTTGCACACTTCCCCTTACCAAGTTTAACAGTTGTACTAAGAAGTAAAGTGAGTAATAATAAAACAGATTCAGATATTTATAACGCTTCGATCCCATATAACATGGATGAAAATCGAGAAGAAGACGCTGCTATACAACAAAGCGAGTAGCCATTTAAACTCAAAGTGAACGAGCCGGTCTATCAATGTGTCTCGGTTACAATAATCAAGGGTAATACTAGGGTGTAAATAAAAACAATGTAAGGCTTTCAAATAGACGTTTTCAGTTCTCCTACCATGAATAACTGACACGGCTTCATTGATCACAAGCGAAGTCAACACTCTAAGTGGTTTGACTACTTTGGCCGCTGAGGCTTTGGACAATGCTTCAGAATGCAAGCTAGTAAAACAGTTCAGTTGAACAAATAAAACTGTATCGTGCTGTTAGCGTGGTGTACACTGATCCCATGTTAAGCTAAACTACACAAGCAAGTGTCAACTTTGTTTAAAAAGCGTTAGCGATTTCAATGTGAGCCACGTGTGAATCCGGACTATGCAAGTTCGAAATTTGCAATTTGGCGACACCTGAATGGCAGGCTAGTCGTGCGAAGCAGATATCTCTCCGCGACACGGACTGACAATTCACGACGTGAAACAAAACTGGATAACTAGGTGCCAAGTAGGTTGGTTTATGGATATATATTCTAACGGTGCAGTCACCAGCCGTGAAATTCTTGTACAAGCTGTGAAAAGGTGGAGTTCGCACAAACACCACGCTGGGACGTCGCTAGACGCCCCGTGGAGTTTCACACACGAAAACGGCGTGCACCACAAAACGTCTCGTTGTTAATTCATGAAACCCTATTCACTGAATGACATTTGAAGAATTTGATTTCAAACAGGTATAAAATTGCCTAGCAGATGAACAAAGCCTTGGTTTATGAAAAGCTCTTTGCAGAGTCACCGTCGTCTGTGTCAATCACGGTGATACGATGCAGGAAAGAATGTACTAGTTACGTTTTTTACATGTAGATCGGTCGCGAGGGATGTTGTCTTAAGTGGCTTTGAAGAGCTGGTCGAGAAACCGTTAACATCAGCTTTACTTGGAAACTTGAGAGATTTCCAATTCAAATCGTTGCTTTTTCTTTTTGGAAAAAAAATATCTTAACCTTTTGTGCTCCTAAAAGTAAGTCATAAAGAGTGTGCGAAACAAGTTGAACGGCTCGTTTCAACACAAGGTGTACTCTTTCACATTGCAGGTTGCATGTTTTGTTTCGCTTTTACATAAATTTGTTACGCTGTGAGATAAATAAAGTGCGAAAAAAACACCCACAAAGTGAATTCGGCTTTGTCAGTGATCTCTTTTTGTCGGCTGATACGCCAAGATTTCGGCGCTTTGAAAAACGTTCGCCAAGTGGTTACATACGCACGGGTTGACAAATACCGGATGACACTGGGCAAACATTAATTAGAGAACTGGTGCGAAATGGCAATACACAATGACAAATTCAAAAAAGGAAGTAATTTAGAAAGTAAACTAGAAATCAAAAAGCTAATTCGCTCCTGTGAGTTTGAGACAAGCCGGGCAAGCGCCTTCTGAGCTATTTTGGCGTCAGTGTAAAAGACATGCAAATGAGAGCCAATGGCCGCTGGGTGTTATGAAGTAAGTAAAATGTCTGAATGAGTGGTTAGCAAAAAGCAATCAATTTACCCGAGGCTTGATATGTCATAAGGAAGTGTTACATTTAGTTCATTGAGCTGCGAGCTTTCAAATAGCACATCTCAGGTTAGAAAAGTCTTCACCTAGGCGAGCAATTTGTTTATTCCATTGTGAAAAGTTAAATGGCGTATAATTTTAAGACCTCGTGTGAAAAACATGTCTTCACTCCGGCGCTAAAAGTCTGTGTTAACAGTCAAGGTCTTGCAAAACCAAGGATATTACAGACTTGTAAATAAAATCTTATTAATAACTTGACAAATTTTTCTGATTGTGTTGAAAGCTAAGAAAGAAATTAACCAGAGCGACGCCGATGCCGCTGGGCGCAATCTCAATGGGTGAAATTGACCAAGCCCTGCTTAAAAATTACGCCACAGAGCGAGTGAAAAAAGTTCTAGCTTAGACTCACTCGCTTCTTTAAGCAGCTGCAGAAAGAAAGGAGTTTCATTTCAGTGAACAAACCTCTTGAGAACAAGGCATAATCAAGTTAAACTGGTTACAACGCGTGTTAGCATCATGGCGTTTCTTTTCCCGTTACAGTTTTGAATGACATTCTTCTGTGCTTTAAGGGACAAAGACAAACGTAATTCCGCTTTGGTGACATTTCAAGACATACTCTTCGTCTTTTGAACGTTAGTCAGCCTGTAGCACACTTACATTAAATCTAACCACGCCTTCTTGCAGCCTTAGCCACTTCATTTCTTAAATTAACCAATACAAAACTTTGCGTTTCAGATGTGATGTTTTCAACCTTCGCCTATGAAGCTACTCTCCACAAACAACAACAAAAAGAGCAAATGTGTCGTGCAGTCTTCAATGTACTTTACTCTATCTGAATAAAATCACTTGTTGAAAACTAAAAAGCTCTCTGCTCTTTTTTGTCTCTAATGCTATAAATTACCCTTGTGCCATTTGTCCATGCCATAATGACGAAAAGAATCCCTTGAAGTCGGCTTCTCTGTCCAACCGGAGTTACACATCAATTACTTTGTCCGGACATTGTTAGAAGCACTTCAATAAATCACAGCTTTTAACTATGGGTTTTTTGTTCCAAGAGATTGATCTAGCTAAGAGATACAACACAAATCCTCAAAAAACTTAAGTTAAGCGATTTTTGAAACCAGCTACAGTGGTAGATTTTTACTTCTTTGCAAACAATCTGAATGCCTCTTTTGATAAAATCGGAGAGCAGCTATTGAACAACATGAAGGGAAGCTAAAGGAAATTATCATTAAATGCGGTCGAGACAAATACAAGGGCCGGAGCCAGATTTCTTCAAAATTTAAGCATTACTTCTCAAAAGCACGTCGAAAAGATAATTAGCAGCTCTAGTCTAATTGGCAATAACACCACATTTCTGTAAACAAGCTGTTCAAAGAGACCGCCTAGAAAACTTCTTTAGCAGCATTTAAACCGCCTCACAATAGATGCAAAAACCCGAGCGAACCAGCGCGCGTCATAAGTGCATTTTACTTTTGAGCGCCATTTAGCAAATCAAACGCTGGTATCAAAAAAGCGACCGGATGGCAGGCACTTTCCCCTTCGAGCTATTTTCATATGTATCTAGGACTTCAAAAGCTCCCCGCTCAACTAAGCTATAAACATGCGCCTTAAAAATTCTAAACCCACACGCGTGTATTGAGATAAACTATAAAATGTGTTTATTATTCCTCTTGTCCTTTACGATTTATATACAAGATTCAAGCGAAGCAGGAAATCTTATTTACATAGAATTGTACAATCTTGTTTTCTTGTCGCGAAGGCCGATCCGCATTTTTGAATTTACGTGTGGTCTGCACACGGGTATAAATATGCAAACCCTGCAAATAAAATATTCCTTGCTTTAGATACACTCGGTTATTTAAATTTTGCTACAATGAATTCTTCTCGAGTTTTAATATATATTACTGAGCGAGAGAAATTAAACGGGCTGATTCCAACGATAAATATTTCGCGTGTCCACAGAGTTTTTTGTTCTCAAATGTTGGCCGGCTATTGTCGGCTAAGTTAGTGTTCTACATTAATATAAGTCTCTGCATTTGGAATATCCATTTTGTCATTTTCGTCTTGCTTCGGCGTCAACGTGAGCACGCTGCTCAACTGAGCAAGTCTCTGTCCCTCTTGAACATCGATATTGAGCTCCATGGAAATGTCTTTAGTTTCTGGCTCGTCCTTGACGCTGTCTTCGTCCGTTTTATCAGAGCTTTTCTTGACATTGTTCTGATGCGTTTTTTGGTGTTTTCTAAGGTGATCACTTCGCATGAAGCGTTTGCCGCACTCGGCACATTGAAAACGTTTCTCGCCCGTGTGCGTTCTCAAATGCCGTTGAAGCTCGTCTGAGCGTGTAAAGCTCTTTCCGCAGAACAGCCAGTTACACACAAACGGTCGCTCGCCAGTGTGCCAGCGAAGATGTGCTTTGAGGTGCGATGTCTTTCCGTACACTTTGCCACAACCGGGGATGTGACATATGTGTTGCTTTCGCTTTGCAGTGTTTCCCGTTGTCGCGGCGAGCTGGCAGTTCGGGCATCGGCACCTTCTGCAGCGTCTTGTCCCAGTTACTTGGCTAGACAAAGGTGCAGCACTGTAAGCGCTGGTCAAGTGATAAGCGGCTGCAGCACTGCTGGGGTTTCCGTGATAACTCATAGAGGGGATGTGACTTGAAGGTGCTACGGAACTCAGCGCCAAGCTCTGCGGAACTGCGCTGGAGATAGGGCTTCGTACAACAGTTTTATTCGGCTCTACACTCCACCAGTGAAGTCCTCCGATCTCGTTACACTCGGGTTTGAACGCTGCCGTGCAGCCCAGCGATAGCTGAGCGCTTCTTGCCGATGCTGGGCACGCGTGCACTGCTGCCATGCAAGGAGAAACAGGCCCGCGCGACGGGCTTCCGTGAGAAACAGCGAAGTTTTGACGGACGTGGCTCTTTGGAGGGGCAGACAGGTAGAATTCTTGAAAAGGAGAGAAGTGAGATTCGGCTGGCGGTGTTAATGGCAGCATTCTCTCTCCGGGACAGCTCATAATTTGGCTCACGCTAACTGCGTGTTGGCTCAGCTCGGGAAGAACACCGCCGGCAAACTTCCCGTGACATTCGTAGTCTCGATGGGCTCCAGGCTGGCCGATTCGGCTACATGTAGCGGCTAAAAGCGCCAGTGGAGACGGTTTGCGATATTCCTAGAAACAAGAACACAAATGATAAGCTGCGAGGCCACAGAAAACGCTATACGGATTTTAATAAATAATACGCTCAAATCGCAACTTTTAGCGACTTTTACAAGGCGCTGGAAATCCTTTAAAAGATACCTACATGTGAAAATGGAAAATATTCCGGTCTCGCTAACGCGGCTGTCGCGGCCATCTCGTTCGTTGAGGTTGAATTTTTTGCGTTGGGCACGATTTGAGCTTTGCGACGTTTCAATACGATGTTACGCGTACAGGAGACAAGACTAAATGAAACCTGCGTTCGTTCACACAAAGCATTCAGCTGGTTTGAGAACCGGTGGCGGAGAAACAGACTAAATGTAATTAGACAAAGTGAGCCGACCGCCAATGAGCGGCTAGAGGCGGAGTCTGTTGCTTATACTCTTCTCACTGCCATGTTGTTATCGTAAATAAGGTGCTATTATCGCAGATGATAGAGGAGGAGCGAGAGGGCGGCGAACTAATGAAGACAATCAAAAGAAGGGACATTTTATGATTGGATTTCCATGATCAAAGTCGGCCGCCGACGAGCGCGCATTCCGATTGGCCAGCACTTTATAAACAATCCGCGGGGCGACCCTTGAAAGCAAATCATTTGTTATATTATTGTGTATTTCCGTTATCGGGTTGTATTATTGTCACCACCTCTAAAACTACTGTCATCACTCGCAAAAGAGACCGCCTTTATTTAAATAAGAAAAGATTCAGCAATACACTTGTAAAGGATGCAAACAGCCTATTGTCCGAGTAACAAGCTATAAACAATTAGCATCTCTTACACGAGGTATACTGTGGCTTTTCGCGATAAAATAGTTCGAGGTGTTAACCTTTCATCGTGCCGCGCTCTCCGGCCGATTGTTTACACGGCGAAAAGAAATCTCTGTCATTCTAACGACAGCGCCAGCTCAGCCCTGTCATTTTCGGCCATTATTTCCACGGAAACGCCAGTGAACAAACATTTTGTTGAAGCAAGCATAAATTCGCTTTTAATGTTAGTTTTATGGGGGCAGAATGTTCTAACAAGCCTGCGCGCTGCTAATTAGAAACCCGCCTTCAAAGACCGCCTTAAGGTCCTCCTATGCCGTGCGCCTCTCAATATCTATGCCAATCAAAGTTGCGTCGCGAATGTTCCCTCTCTTTGGAAGGCAAGCAACATGGTTTGTGGTATATTCTGACTCCGAACTAAAATTACACTCAGATATCAGTGCTCTGGCGTTGACAGACTGTTTATGGGCAATTATTGATGCTACTCACCATTCGAGACGGCGGTATCCTTTGAGATGGCGGATCAATTTCGACCAATTTCCTCGGCTAACAATTAACAGGTTATTCGCGCTCTATGCGAGATTGAAGGGTGTCAGCGATTCTTCACCGAGTTCAGGTGCATATTTCACTGCTATTTATTTTATTATGCAGGTTAAAGCTTCTGAAGGCCGTAATTGGGACAAATCACTACCCAAAGAAACCTCGTCTAGAAAACGCCGACTTCGGCTTGCCCGCTTTGAATATTGCACTGGTTGGTATTTTAGGCAAAACAATGGCTGAGCTTACTGGCTACAATGAAATTCTTTTTCCTCGTTAAACGATTTACTTGGCATCTCAAAACACGAAAGCTTTATACACAACTGTCCCGGAACATTTCTGTAAACAAGTGAAAAACGCAAAACCGAGATTTCGCACCAAAATCACATAACACTTTAAGTCGGACTTTCGCGAGCCCTTGATCTTAGCCGATAAGATATCTTGGGCCAATATATTCCTCTCTGAACAATATGATACTCCAACAACGATTATTCATCCACTGCCGACTCTTGGGAAACGCTGAACCGAGGAAAAAACAATAGGTATACATTATAATGTCCCCTGGACGAGGCCAATGCACGAAGGCTCTTGAAAAAGCCCACCGGCGTACAGTACTTTTCGGCGGCTCATCCATGTAAGCTTGGCAGTAGATGAGCTTGTTGAGTCTTATATAAAGTGAGTTGAAATGTTCTCAGTTCCGCTCCTACGGCTTAGCAAGATTAAAAAAGTTTCATCGACGCGGGGTTTGGCGGCTTGTTGCATTCAAACAGGCCACGGGGGTTCGAAGAGAATAAAACAAAACCAAATGATGTAATGTTCGTTGCTTATCATAAACCCAAGGATTATAGAGTGGAGGCGCCATGGAGGAGCCGAAAACGGCGGGAACCCATTTATAATTCACATTGTTTCCACTTAGCAAAACTCATAAATTTCGCCCTGAAGAGAAGCAAAAATATCCGTTCAGACGAACTTTATTGCAAATCTGTCGGTAGGCAATTAGGTATTTCAGCCACAACGCACCACTAATTTGAGACTTCGAACAAAAAATGAAGGCCATTCGTCATGGCCTTGACGCCCGAAAGCTCGCGGAAAAATCGATAATGTTCAATTTTTGTTCTCTTGAAATTTGGTTACAGCTTGATGGGATTTCAGCCTTGTCAACAAAATTTAGAAGCGAGCTGTCAACTTAAAGAGCTTTTAAACAATGCTTATGACCAACAAAAGTCGGCTTACTTCAAAGGCACAACTTTGCATTCAAAGATCTAGCTTTCTTTATAATATATATGCCACTAATTGAATATTTATTTTTCTTGCTCCAAAATTGTCATTCCGTAAAAAGCATCCTGGAAAAACAAAGAAGCATTCTCGTTTACGAGTTTTCCAATTTTTTTTCTTACTGCTGACAAAAAGAAAAAAACAAAGGAAATAACGCCAAACCTGAGAGACGACTCGTTCGTAAAAAAATTTCCTTAAAGTAAACAACCGATGTAATGTTTGCCTCGAAACCGTGAAGGTAGAAATTCAATTTTCGCTTTCTTTCCTTATCATGTTTTTGTATGTGTTAATTCTGTTTATTCTGTTTGCTTAGTACATAGCAAAAATCAACGGCATCACAAAGGAAATAAAGTGGAGTTCAAGGCGTATTTCTTCTCCGCCTCAGCAGGATTGAAACGTTCAGTGCTCCCAGTTATTTAAAAAGATTTCATATTTTCGGTTTTCACTCAGTCAAATCACTACTGGTGGTTTTGCTTGGAAGAGCTGGTTAATAGTCACTACACCCAATAACCGACAAGATATTGAACTATTCTCTTAAATTTAGCCTGAGGCAAATTATCCATTAACGGAATATATTCACACGAATAAAAACACAAGAACCTCGCTCGTTCAAGAGAAGCGCGCGTGAAAGCCGCCAAACGAAATTGTATTTGTGCTAATGTAATCTTGCCGTTATCTTTAAATGTCGCTTTTCACTTTTTCAAGTTTTCCGTCGTGTGGGGTTTTAATCAGTTCCATCAAACTGATTTTCGAAGTCTTTTAACCTGTCTTGGCAGCGAACAACGAGAAGCAAACGTCTCCGGCAAATAAAAAATCAGTGATTCTTCCTACTTAAAATCACACCCTGTGTTAGTTGTCAGAGATAAGGAAACTTTTTAGCTTTCAAGAAAATTCAGTTCTGTATCGGTCTTACTCGGTTTAATAAAACACAAATTCCCAAACCCTAAGTAATTTTTTCCTGTCAGTCTTACTTTTGCACTCTTTAAAACTGAACATGTTCGTTGCTCGATCCCTTACCTTTTTCTTAAAATAAACAGCCCCAAGGCGGGTACATAAAAACTGCGAAAGTCTCAGCAAACGTTAAATTTCTTGTGTAAACTTCCTTGTGTTAAATTCGTATATTCTCTTAAGTTAGAGGAAACTGTCAGAGACCCCTGTGCGGCGGACGGCAGGAGTTAAAAGAATTTTCACTGAAATCTGCCAATCTTTGTCAAGTAATTATACCAGGGACGATATTAAAGCAAGCCATCATCCTACACGGCGTGCATTTGCAATAAAGGCGGTCGCTTTTGAACTTTTATTTTTATGAGTGATAAGGGTAATTCGGCTCGCTTGGCACGCGCTCTGATTCGCGAAGATAAAAGCGCTCCTTGACTTGGCGCTTCAATGTCTAGAGCGAGGCCCAATACTGTGTTTTGCTTGAAAACGAGCCCTATTTCCGAGCAATTATGGCGTTAACGAGTTTTCCGTTTTAAAGAATCCCGTCATATGAGTCCAGTTCCGTCTTTTAAACATACCTAGTCGCTGTGTCTATAGCTTAAGGCTGCGAACGTGAACCGACACATTGGAATAAATTGTGTCCAATTTTATGCCTCCCATATTCTCACTCATTAAAGTGGCACCAAAGGGCCCACTTGAAGTGGTAGCAAAAAAACCTCTGTTGCCAATCGGTCAAGGTTGGCAGCAGAATTAAGAGAATGACTTGATAGGTTCGCTGAGCCATGACCGCATTTGACTCGAGTGGAAGCCATTACACGAGAAACTATAAAGTTGACCGGCGGTGAAACACTTGTTTTCTCACTTTGTGGTGAAATTGAGAGTTACACTGTGTATCTTGCATTTCCGTCGGTATTTTCGATAGGGTCAAAATACAGTTAGCAATAATTATTCTTTTCACCTTACCTACAAAAAGGCCAAGAGGCAAATCTATTCAGTGAAAATGTTTCGGGCAATGTTACCTCCGGTTAAAGATATTGTTGCTTTTCAAGGTTGAATATTTTATTGTACCAGCTCCTTGAAAAAAAAAGGTTTTGAGCGAAGCGATAGATATAGGTGCTTTACAAACTCTAAACCAGTGGAAATTCATACTTAACTTAAATCAGCAGAAAACCTTCACTAATCTGTGAATTCGCGTCCTAGGATTCGCGTTTGATTTCTATGCAACTTGTTTAGCCAAATCACTTTAATCATTGAGTGCTGTTGTGGTTTAGTTATCGCTCTTATAAACACACTTAGGCGATACTGAGCATGGCCGACCGAACTCTGAACGGATTCCTTTCGCCTTTAGGGTAGTTCATGGCTATATCTTTTTTCATATAACATTTAGCAGTATTAAGTTTCAACTGCAATGAAACACAGGAAATAGCAATGATTACGAAGCGATTAAGTTTTCTGATAGCTTCCTGTCACCAACGCTAGAAATTATCAACTGGGTGATAAAACCGCGTATTGCCTGCTGAAGAACAAAATATCCCTTAGGCATGACAAATTTTGACTTAAGGAACAAGTTTTAGAACGATTACTAGACACAGGAAATTAACAACAAGCCCTGTTACAAAACAAAAACCCGCTCACGAGCTAGGCGTGCAACAAATCCCGTATTTGAATAAGTTATTGCTTTTTATCTATTTCATTACAATTGGCTATTGTTTTCAGATCTTGTGTTCACTGTTCTGTGCTTCAAAGGGGGCAAGTGTTTTTTTTTGTTGGACCCTTCTTAATTTTAGTTTTGTTACGGACTCTTTTACGGGAAGATAATTATAAAGATCTCGTACGACCGTGCAATAACCGAATGAAAACCGTTAAAAAACTAATCATATTACCTCAACTTGGGTTACTGACCACGTAATAAGGTTAGAAAATATTATTGTTATGAACATCTTGCAAACACAGTGAGAGTGTATAATGTTTTTATAATCTGCTTCACACGTGAGATTTAAGAATTTCATTTTTTTTTCTTGGCAACTACATGCTATAATCTTGAGAAAATTCGCAACAAACAAGTTGAACCAAACACATATTATACACTAAGCTATTTTTTATAAAGACTAACAAACCAGTAAAGCATGAAAGAAACCCGGTTAACGTTTCCTTCAAGGCCATAAATACGCTGCGAATAAACCAAAAAGTAAAGGGACTCATTTAACGGCTTTGCTAATTAATCTAGTGGCAGTTTTCAGAGTTGTTTGTTAACATGTACCAATTCACACACGCACCGTAAACAAACACACAGGTTGTGTAATATGCCATTGAAAAAACTTAATAAAACTGAGACACGCGACGTGCATCTTAAATATTTTAACGTTTAGATCGTTCTTATAAGGTATTAATAAACAAAATCTCTCACGTGTCATTGCACTTGAAAGATCCACTGACGCTGCCTTGAAGTGACTGCCAACCTTTGACAAGTAAAAGTGCAAATTAAATAAGTTTTGGTTTTTAACTTGAAGTAGTCTTCCCTTTATTAACTTTTTACAACACTATACAAAGGAATGTCTTTTTTGGCCGAGACTAAACGCTACTTGGAGCTGATAATTACCCCGAGTGCAAAGCAAATGTTTTCCGTCCACACTGACGCCGAAAGAATTTGGGGTTGTGTTTGAGGAGAACTCGGTCGGGGAAATCACTTGATTTTCGTGACTACATCGTGGTCGAAGAGCTCCGTTTTAAAAATGCTTGCCGTTCACATGAAAACGAAAATGCGGCGTTTTCAAATTCCTCCGGTTTGAAGAGAGTTTTCGAAAAGTTCCGTTTGCGTGACGGATTAGCCTGGACGGAAGGCCTAACCGTAGAAATAAAGCTGCGTTTTTAGTCGATGACAGTGCTGGTTCGGGTTGATTGGAACAAATTCTGATTCAGACTATACATGCATTTTTCACCTCAATAGCAAATGAAATTTAAAAAGAAGAATACAGTTCTCACTATTCTAATTTCAGTCAAGATCATACTCTATTCACGTTCTAATTCTGCCTGACTTTCTGGCGTCTAAAACGTTCTCTTAAGAAAATGGCTCTTACAGAAAAGAGTGCAAACCACTTGATGAACATCGGGTTTCTCCTTCATACATCAATACAATGTTAAGCAGACAACTACTGAGACATTATTAGCAATCAGGAATTAGGAATTTAGACTGCCTTGATGTACAACTGAATTCTAATGATTATAATAAAGAAAAAAAATCCATGCATTATAATTGTGAATGTTCTCATAACCGCTGGGATTAAGCTTCATTCCAAGCTATGGCGTTTTCGATTCCCGTACAAACACTTTACAAACTGCGCTATGAGGTCAGATGGAGATGGTCAAATGCAAATTTTATTTGTGTATTGTATAGGAGTTAAAGACACTAAGAGAAAGCATCAAAAAAAATTCTCTCTGAATTTAAGTCTAAACACCCAGTCGAATGAAAACAGCCAGTCAACTTCGATTGATCTTGCTCAAAGATTGCACAAAGCCCTTGCCTCTTCACAGTTTAACTGTCATGCAATACAAATATACTGTACAAAGGATTACAAAATTTGCCACATTATTCAAAGATCTTCAGTCACTCATTGCAGTGAATCTCATAAGAGATTTGTATGAATATCTTACATGTGTCCTATTTTGTAGTCCTCGTACCTATGCCATGATAAAGTCATTTTTGTGACGTACAAAATTACCTCTCAAGGAGCACAGGCCCGGGGCACGGGCTATGAAAGACTGAAATGAACCCCAAATCTTAAAATGCATATTTTCATTGATGGAAATAAAACTTAACTACAATGGTCCAGGCCCCAGTTGTTCTCAAGGTGATAACGCTATCCACTGGATAAATCGCTATCCAATGGATAAGTGTTGACAAAACAAACCGTGCTATCCGCTGGATGGTGATTTATCCAGTGGAAAGAGATCCACCTTTCGAACAACTGGGGCCAGATTAGTTGAAAACTACTACACAAGTGCATCGAAGCGATAAAAAAGAGAGATATAATGGCTGCACAAGAATTAGGTTGTAATATCAAATTGAAAAAGTCTGGCAGAAGTTTCCAAATTTTGTTGTCAAGTCTTCGAAAAGTAAGTTATAGCTCTCCATTCAGCAATTCAATAATATCCTCATCTTGCTATTCTAAGGGAATCGGTAATACATACGAAGCAGTTTAGTGATAATTTTAGCTCTGCTTTGACCAAATATTCAGAAGAATCACCATGAAATAACAGTTTTCCAACGTAGAAAGCATCACTAGCAATAATGAGTAAAATTTAACGATTCAAGCGTCACAAACTATGTTTTTTACTGTCAAAATGGATCGAATGAAGGTTGACAGTTAATCTACAGTCTGAGTTGATAATGAGCTCATTCATTAGCTTTAGAAAATTCCATTGAATACTTTTCGACCTTTGAGAAATGAAGTCAACAAAATTCGACAAAAAAAAAAATCATTCTCTACTATTTACAAAAAAGGTATTATTTACACTTTTTTATTCTTTTTCCCTTGCAAACGCCAATGGAATAACCTGGCTTATTCTCAAACTTATACTAGTTGTAAAAATCGCCCTCAAGATTGAACATTCCTAAACTTGCAACCCTATATCTATAACATGATAATTGAATATTGCACCGGCTTATACCAAAGTATAACCTTGGCCTACACACTCGCAATAGCAATCAACATTTTGATTAGAATAAAAGAAAATTAACCGGAGGATATTGTCTTTCCATGTCTTAATGTACGTCAAGTAGAATCATTAGACTGCAATTGGTTATCAATATTTCAAGTACTTCGAGGTCGGCGCGAAAGATAATTAAAACACTTACTTAGAAATGACAACACAAGATCAAGAGGAGCAGAGTGTTAAATGGCATCAACGAACGAAAGAAACAAGTCCGTTCTTAGTTCCACTCCGCGATAGAAATGAGTCAAACAAACGTGGTTCTAACTTTTAAATCTGTGGATGAAGCCCTAGTGTGTGACCATTCAAATGAAAGCTATTGAGCAGTACTCTCATGTGGTACTGTTTATTATGCTGTACAAGGTGGTTCTAACTTTTAAGTCTGTGGATGAAACACTAGTGTGTGACCACTCAAATGAAAGCTATTAAGCAGAACTATCATTTGGGGTCTTAAGAAGACACAATTACTAGGCAGATTTTCCCAGGCAGAAAAAAGTCCCAGGCTTATCCAGAATTTTCTCCATATATGATCAATCCATGACGTAGTTTTCAGCCGTTAGCCAATCAAAATCCAGATCCCTGTATGAAGACTACGGCTCTGCTGACATATGACTGGTGTTAACTTAACACAAGGGATTGAGAGGAAGTTCAAAATGATCACATAAAACGTATTATTTTAAGGTCCAAAAGACAAGAAATTTTATATCGAGTTAAAACTACAAAAAAAGTAGTGAAAAGTAATAAAAAATACAACACTGCTAATCAATTAGCACTGAACTTTTCACTTTTCTTTCCTGGTCAATGTTTCTCTAACGTGTAAACCTGTGGGAAAATATGTATACATACATAATTCGTGTGTGCGTGTGTGACCATTTAAATGAAAGTTGTCGAACATTGCTTTCATACTGTTTATCGTGTTGTACAAGGTCCTTCAAAATTTAAGAGACCATAGTGTGACAATTCAAATGAAAGCTACTCAGCAGTACTTCCTTGTGGTACTGCTTATTATGTCCATGGTGGTTCTAACTTTTAAGTCTATGGATGAAACCCAAGTGTGTGACCATTCAAATGAAAGTTATTGAGCACTACTTTCATGTGGTACTGTTTATTATGCTGTACAAAGTGGTTCTAACTTTTAAGTCTGTGGATAAAATGTGAGTGTGAAGCCATACAAACGTAATATGTAAAGGAGTACTTCCTTGTGGTACTGTTTATTATGTTGTACAAGGTGGTTCTTACTTTTAAGTCTGTTAAAAAAAAAACTTTTAAGTCTGTTGATGAAACCCTGGTGTCTGACCATTCAAATGAAAGCTACTGAGCAAAGCTTTCATGTAGCGCTGTTTATTATGCTATACAAGGTTTTGTTTTGTCTTTGGTTGAAACCCTAGTGTGCGACCATTCAAATCAAAGCTGTTGAAGAGCAATTCCATGCGGTGATGTTTGCTTCAATATTTTGTAAAACTGCAATCTACAGTTAAACTACGAGTTCGCTTCATCGTTGCCACTGCAGTGTCTATTGGATTACGGGAGGACAAGTCCAATTCTAACAAAAATTAGGAGGTTACAGCGAGATGCAAACAGCTTACTCAAGGACCTGACATTGAGTCAACGACCATAACACGCTTGCTCGCACTGCTTTGAAAAATGAAAAACGCAAAATCACTTTCCATCTACAGTTTTCAAGGCAGAGCTTTACCCTAACTATACCAGAGGTAAATGGCGGGAACTATGAGTTATCTGATTCAACATGTATGAAGGTTTTTTTTAAATGTTTCACTCTTATTACAACTGAAAACACGCCGGACCTTGGTGTCACTTCAAAACATGTCACTGTCCGTACTGTCCAAACTTACTTCGCTGTTTGAATCCGTAACCTTCTCAATTCCCTGAGTCACCTCGCCAAACACCCCGCTAACCCAAGGAACAGATGGCAAGCAAGCTGCTTGAAACCAGCACGCCAACAGTTTGAGAATCTCTCAGTCGATGCTTTAGTTGTGGGACTACAACCCTGTCGGTGTTCCATGCCGCAACAGCTGTGTGCCAGCGCGGCTCCACAGCGGGTGAAACAAACAACGAGCCGCGTTTAATAAGCGCCACGCCAAACAATAAACCAAATGATTTTGTTCTTGACATAGCAGAGGGCCGTGATAAGCTCCACGCAGCGAGAGGAGCAAGAAGCATATGGCGCCCAGGAGCTGGTAGTTGATCTCAACAAAAACAAGCACGTTGCATGGTTCGTGGAGGGTATATATTCTCCTTACTATAACAGCCGTTCAATAAGAAGTCGAGGCTGGGAAAGAGCAAGGGAACACTGCAAAGAATATCCTAAGAACACAGCCATGGCTGAAATTTGGGTTGTAACATAAGTCTTTTTTTTTTCTCTCGGTTGCTGAATAGATATGATGGCAAAAAGGCTTACAGAGTGAAAGAACTTTTGTTCAAGTCCAGTTTGGAAAGAAAGGCTGTATGACTACAACTGCTTGCAGAGAAGTGAAGCCTTTACTGTTATAACACCTTGTTTGAACCTTGAAAAAAATAGTCACTCTTGAAGGCTTGACGAATTTAACACTCACGGGCTCGGCCGGCTCCCAAACCCTTGATATGTCCTTGAAGTCTCAAAGTGACCAGTGGCTAAGTTCTCTTTACGGTATGAATGGGTTGTTAGGCAGACAGATAGAGAGATGGAGAGAACAAAGTAAATCCAAAGTAAATTGGACCATTTCTTGATGTAGGAACAATTTCTCAACACTTTCATAAAGAAAATGAGTAGAAATGGGAAAAGAAAATATAAACCTTGACAAAGGTTTAAGGAGTAGTTTACTGAAGCGATTGTAAAACAGGTCGTAAAACCTTCAGAGAACATTGAATAAAATGTGTTCTACGAGGGCAGATTCCAAACAAGCAAAAAAAGAGGGGGGAGCTGATAACTCAGTGAGGTCAAGTTGCTAACAAGGAAATACTGTACAGCTAATTAAGATGAACGCTTGGCGGCAGATAACCAGCCATTTCTTTTACTTGCTTTGCAGTGTTTTAGCAAGCTGGTAACTGCCTGTGACCACGTCGACCGAATCGGCATGCGGGCCGACTGCACTGTAAATAATAATTAGTTATAAACACGGGGGGTATTTGAGTCTCTGTGGGTGGTACGACCCGAGGAGGTCGAGTTGGAATTCTTAGAAACTAGAGTTCTCAAAAGGAGAGTGTCTCATAAAAACGAGAGATCATTGTGTTTCGGGTTTAGTAGTTACGCCTTCAAAAACACCTTTGGCTTCACTTCCGCAATACTTAAATCTCACCAACATCAAAGATTTTTAAACAAGTTTAACGACCTTAGACGCGGATTTAACTTTGAATGCAACGAATTTCCATCAGGAAAGAGTCGGCTTTTTGCTAGAATCAGCGGTCCCAACTTAAAAAAAGAACTGGTTAAGCATAAAGGCTATAGGTGAAGTAGTGGGTATATGAAAAGTTCTCATAAAATGATTGTAGCTACCCGTCACCGCCATAATTAAAAACAGTGGAGGCAACATCAATCAAACAAGAAAACAAAATAAACAGGCTCATGGCACGACATTCTCGCTAGAGTTCCAATAGCAGGCTTCCTCCATTCAAAAGGAACATTGTTTTCGTGTATAAAGACTCCATTCCACGATTGTTAAATGGACAACTCCTCACAAAAGGCAAGTGACCAAGCTTAGCAAAGATATTAAACTATTTTAAGGATAAACGTGTAGACAAGGCTGAATAAACAAAAGGAGATTGTTATGTTCCCAAATCAGGGTGGTATCTGACTTCCATCGCTGTGTTTTTGGGCGTCGCAGATCAGAACAGATTTTCAGAGGGCAGATTTTACACAAGTGTTAATGACATATATCTTTCCGAGATAAAGACCTTGCTGTTATGCGCAAAGAATCCATGCACCTTAAACATAAACGGGAAATACCCAGTAAACAAGCAGCCACGAACACAGAAAAAAACACAGTGCTTTTCAAGAAGTAGTAGTGCAGTGATCGCACCAGATTTAACTTAAAGACGATTAAGCTTTAAGGAGGTCTGGCAATTCTGGGACGATGTTAAGTAGCCGAGTACAAGCAACTGCTTATGGCAAATTAAGGTTGACAGAGTTCTACCAATTGTTGAA